TATATATATATATATAAAGTTGTTACCCATGCAGCACCGAAATATTGTAGGAATGTTGCAGAAATCTCGGCAAGACGGGGACGTTGTAGAAACATTGCAAAGTATTGCTGCAATATTGTAGCAACATTACAGTTTAACGTATATTTAAGAAGCTGTAAAATTAATTAATTTTTAAAATTAATCCAATTTTTTGTTAAAATGAGTATTGGCGGTATGTTCTAAAATACACATGAAAAAAATTATAATAAAAAAGTTTCCCCTTGAATTCGGGAATTAATTTCATCATGTTCCCTATCATCAAGCTGTCATCCATCCTAAAGTTGTACGTCGGCTCGCGTCGCTTGATCTCGATCATATGGGAATTGCTGCTTCGGTAATCTACGAACTCTGTATTGGCGTTTTCAATTCGACCGGGTTTGCACCAACCTGGGTTGAATTAATGACGTTTCGTGCTCTCCTTTTGATAGAACATTTAACGTCAACCAATAGCAAATATTAATCTAACACGAGTTGGTGCAAATCCGATCGAGCCGAAAACGCTATATGTTAATGGATGTATGACTGTGAAATATCTGGTCAATAGATATTGTCAAAAAGATGGTTCATGTATAAATTAGAATATATTTATTTCATAAATAAAAGAAGATTTAGAGAAATTATAAAGAAGAAAAGATTTAGAATTTTTATTAATTTTCATATGCATAATAATATCCGGAATATACAAATGTATATATATATATATAAATATATGCCCTTTATACGATTATATAAATATATATATAAACTATAACAGGTCATATATAAACATATATGTACATATAAATGTATACAAATTGTTATCTATATTTATATATAAATACAAAAGAAATTTATGTATTTTTTAATTATATATAAAAATGCGACAGCATTATTTAAAATTATGTAATTACGTGATAGAGTATACATAACTATATATATTTGTATATAATGTTAAATGATTATGTAAGATTATGTATTGTGAAAATTTTTTTACCGGAATACTTGTAATTCATGATAAAAGATTTTTCAAATACATAATTTAAGCACGAGTTTAAATAATGATATAGTATATGTAAAATTAATTGATATTAGATAAAACTCTTAATGAATCACAGACTGTATATGTTATACGAGTATTTTTAAGCTCAAAATAATTTATTTATTTATTTTCATAATTTTTTAAAAATATTGCAACTTAAAATCATGTTGCATATTTACATTTGTACATATAAACAATGTTACTGAAACATTGCATTACAATATGCATTTTTGCAATATTGCAGCAATATTGTTGCAAACTTCTGTGCTACATGGGTATAAAAATGTAATTATAAAAATCATAAAATTTAATTTGTAAAAGCGTTACAATTTAAATTATGGATTTAACTAAGTTTAAAATTATTTCTTGAAAGTATTAATCATTAACCCCGTATTAATCATTTAAAAAATGGTTAAATTGGTTGAAACTGTTTTTGTATATTATGAGATTTTGTATATTTTGTAGATTATGAGATGCCGATCAAAAGATTTCCTCAGACAAAATTATAAAAAATAGACAGATTTTGCTGCATTATTTTTTTTGCTGCATTTTGCTAGCATTATTTGAAAATTATTATTTTGAGTCCAATTGAATTTAAAAATATTTTATCTACTATTTATTTTTTTACAACTATACTTTAACTTTAAATTTATAAATTAATGAAGCCACCTGGGGGCGGCTAGATGTTGGTGCCCAGAGGCGGCAAAATGGTTAATCCTTCACTGGTCTAATGTTCAATTTCTTCACTTCCAGATAAGTTGCGGATAACGTTATCCGGGAGATATTCTATTGTAAATCTAGAAGATCTCCTGGATAAAGTTATCTAGAGGTGAAAAAATTGAGCACATAAGGAAGTTTTCTATCTATCCATACATACAGGGTGTCCCTTAAACACCGGAACAACACTTAAGAGGAGATTCCTAAGATTATTTTGAGACAAAAATTTTAATCTCCCAAAATGTCGAGGCTATAATAATTTTTGAATTATAATTATTTAAAGTTAGCGAATTATATCGCCTAAAATTTGCGCGTTCGAGAATATGGTACAATGCAAAATGCTAAAAATAAAAGCTAATTATTGCCTCTAAATATTGATATAAAGATTATGTATGCGAAAATACAATTACTGATATTTCTAATTATTGATATTTATTATGTTAAAGAAAATATTTTCCCTCGACATTTTGGTATTATTTCGTCTCAAAATGATCTCAGAAATAGCGTTTTTCCGGTCTTTACGAGTATATATATATATATAGTGTTTCATTTTAATTGATAACCAAGAATATCTCGAGAAGGTAACGTAGGATTGAACAAAAGTTTCAGACAAAAATTACGTGACTTCGAGGGGGGCATAAAATGGTACCAACCACACATCAGTTTGATTTTGGATGATGTTGTCAAGATCACTTTTAAACGGAACCCCCCATTTTTTATTGCACATTCTCACTATTAATTACATATTCGTAGCTTGCCTCGAGAGCTTTTCAAAACACTATAATAAAATATTTTTTCATTAAGTACCTTTCAAGTTAGAATGCTTAAGAGCTTTTACCAACTCCGATTAAGCTAATCGGTCGATTAAATTTTAATATTGGCAATTGCAAGACTGAAAACATAATCTAATTTTCAATTGTGAAAAACGATGTAATAACAGCACAGGTCCATATTAATGGCAAATTTCTCAAATGCGAAAAAGCCACGCGAGTAGAGCACGTGAGTACTGAGCGCCCCGTCAGAAAAAGGATGTTTTCAAGTCTTGCAGCTGGCAATATTTAATCGGCCGATTAATTTAATCGGAGTTGGTGAGACCTGGCCTAAGGGCCACTTTTACCAACTCCGATTAACTTAATCGACCGATTAGTCTATTGGAATTGGCCAATCGCCATCTGTCGTCAAACCAAATGACAAATGCGATTGGTCAATTCCAGTGAACTAATAGGCCGATTAAGTTAATCGGAGTTGGTAAAAGTGGTCCTAAAAGTTACAGTACCGCTGACATTAGCATTACCCAAGATGCCCGACCGACGCGACGGCTAAAACCTCCTAAATGTTGTTCAGGATCATGACTTACTTCGTACTTTTTTGTTGAACAATGTAATCATTTATCATTTTATTTTCATTGATCGGCTGTGGTCGTTAGACAGTAGAGTGTAAGGATTAAGAAATTTACGCGGATGAATCTTTCATCTATAAAGATTAAGCTTTATCCCAGTGCGGAGACGTTGCCCATCAAGCCCAGCGCGCGCGTGACGCCTATTTTAATGCCGCGCTACTGTGAGTCGTGCGTTCCTATAAAAAGCGGCGGCGATTATATCGACGTTTAAACGATAAGGAATACTCAGCGCAGAGCCGTACCTACGTAATGACTGAACCCGATAAAAACACGATAATCTTCGGTAGCAGAAAACGTGTCTGCGACGATTATTATTAATAGCTGAGTCATTTTTTTAAAAATGAAATGTTGGTGACACGGGTGATACGTGGTGACTCAGAAATTCATCGGATCGTTCGGGGAAGTTTCAGAGAGGCGAGGGACGCGTCGAACCCGTACACCGAACATCGTCAACCTGCGGCGCAGCGGTATCAAAGAGCGTAACGTCGCGACGACGACGACGACCTCCACGGCGAATATCAGGAGGAGCCTGGCGATGAAGCAGGAACCGGAGGACGAGGAAGACTGTTATCTCGACGAGTCAAGCATGCCGGCTGCGTCAACGACACCGCCACCGCTGGCGACGGCATTACCACCGACGTCGTCCTCGTCATCATCGTCTGGCCGGCACGGAAGCGTCACGCACCGCGTGCGCTCCCACGCGCGCAGCCTACGTGCCATGGCGAACCCCAGCGCGGTCTGGGCACACTTTGATCTATGCGCCAACGATCCGTTGCGCGCCCAGTGCCGGATCTGCGGGGCGGTCGTCGTCAGAGGCGGTGCAAATCCGCGCCAGTGCGGCACGACAAATCTCCACCGGCATCTCAGGGTACATCACGGGGGCAGACTGATCGGCAGACGTTATCATGGTAAATATCGTATCATTAGGGTACTTTCTACGTTTCTTCAAGTTTCATTCTCACTGTGATGTAACACAAGCCAGAGACCTAACGTAAGAAGAAGAAGACTTTTGCAACCTAATTGATGAAACTGTAATCTAAAATATCAATTAAAATAGCATCTTTCCTACAGAACAAATAACGTCATTGATGCCTTCTCGCTTGAAATTAGTTTCCTTCGATACACGTGTATTGAAATATACGAGTACACGTGTGTGTGTAACGTATTTATATTTTATTTCGTGTGATTATTAATGTGTAACAAGACATCCGCATATTTAAGTATAATACATTTACGGCGTAATTAAGCTAGTTATCCAAGTTATATTGTTATAACAAATGAGCGAAATATTTTAATTTTTGTTTAATGCTTGTGATAATCTTTTTCAAGTATACAAATATGTATTTACAATTTAACATTGTATAATAAAAGATTATTATGCAATAAATGCAACTATAAAATGTTTATTTTCTCATTTTTATTTCTTAATAAATTTATTTCTCTTTCTCTCTCTCTCTCTCTGTTTTAATTAATATTTTATACTTTATAATGAACGATTTATTAGAATCATATAATGTGAATATATAACAAGCAAGAAACGAAACTTATGACGGTCGAAACTGGATTCTAAGTGCTTTAAATAATTTCGTGCGAATTTGTATACCATATTTTGTATTTTTTTGAATTGCGCGCGCGAATTGGTTTTTCGGACTTAGAAATGCAAATTGTAATTAAAGTTAATCTACTTTAGTAATGGGCATTAGTTTTTAACTTTGCATTCTACAACTTCTAATTCAATGGACTGAAATTTTAATTAAATTCATTGTCAAGTTTTTCAACTTTTAATTAAATGATTCTTTTGATTAAACGATTCTTTTGATTAGATGATTCTTTAAGTGGACAATTAGGATTACAGAATTCAACGTTCATAATCAGAATTTAAATCTAAATTATTTACCGTCGCTATTTAAATTATTCTTGACAGTCTTTTCGCAGCATTCTTTCGACTTTCATATACATATTTATACATATGACATATTTATTTTTTTGTCCTAGTTTTACAGTCAACGTCTCAGGGCAGTACAAGTACGAAAGCTATAAGGATTGCAACGCAAACCTTAGTGAGACCTCACATTCGTAACATTGCACCAGCACCGCTACCTCAGCAACAGCAGTCACAGCAGCAGCAGCAACAACGGCAACCAAAGACTCTCGTATTAAAAACTATTCCGTTGAAAGTGAAACAAGTTGCACCTACGACTATCAAAATGTCACCGCGACAAACTAATCAAGGATCCCACAATGTCGTGCATCAGCAACCTACAGAAGTACGTAGATTTATTGTGAATGTTATATCTGTTATAAGATGAAAATATAATTCGATACAGAGATCTCTACTAAACTCGCCCTTTTCTGCACGTTTCAGGTTTGCCTAAGGTGGAACAGTTACCATAGTAATATGCAGAATAGCTTCCCGTCGTTACTGGACACGGAACAGTTTGTCGATGTGACCCTGGCGTGTGAAGGGCGGTCTTTGAAATGTCATAAAATGATTTTATCTTCCTGCAGCGACTACCTGGCAGATTTATTACGGGAGAATCCATGTCAACATCCTATTATTCTAATGAAGGATTTGAAATTTTGGGAAGTGGAGGCATTGGTTAAATTCATGTACCGCGGAGAAGTCAACGTCGCTCACGATAAATTACCGCAACTATTGAATGCCGCCGAAGCGTTACAAGTGAAGGGACTAGCCGGTCCGAGTCCCTCGTCTCAAGTAAGCGAGACATCCTCAATTTATTATAATTACATTAGTCAATGTCTATGGAAATTTTTAATTGTTTTATATTCTTTTATATCGACAGAACACAAAATCACCGTTACTTATACCTCAAACGAAGCCATTGTCGTCTCAACATGTAGTTCCTAGAGGTACCACCGAATCCAAAGAGAATAAAACATCACCTTCAAGGGTGTCTATGTCTTCTAGTCCTAAGCGTGCGCAAAAGCGACAACAGTCCGAATCTGTAGAGCCAAGACCTTTTACCAAAATACGTCTGCAGCGACCCATCACGCCAACGTCTCCGTGCGCGACTGTAAAGCTGGAGCCTTTAGATATACCTCTTAGCCCGACGGAGATATTCTCGGAGAATAACGAAGTCACAGCTTCCTCAGACTTTGAAAAACTTATGAGTTTGCACGAGGAAGATGACCCAGGTGGCGAGGAAATTAACGACGGAGATGAGAGGCTACATTTTTGTGAACTGCCAGCTCCACCAGATTTAAATGATAATGAAGACCAAATGGAGTTTGTACCTACAGATTTTCTAGAGCAACAGCAAGACATTGTCGAAGAACCAGAATTAAGTTGTAATAAAGATAATAATAAAAAAGAGTCTGTTGATTATGTTTCTACTGACATTGATGAGGACAACGAAATCGAGCATAATGAGAAACAGTCCTCGAGAGAAAAGAAAGTGACATAGTAAAATAAGATATAGAGATATCTTATAATCTATGTAATAATTGGATTATACTACAAATTTCAATGGAAACTAGTGTAAGAATACCAATTTGTTCTTTTTTTAACTCTCAAGCGAAAAAATACATTATAACGACAAACTGAATCAGAGTCATCATATGAGAACCAAGAACCAAAATAGATTGTTATTTTTGGAATCTATTAAGAATACTTCAGAAAATTTTTCTTTAATTTCGCTGTTGTAATCATGAGATCTCCAATCGAAGATTAAATCTTACTATGTAGAGTTTGGAGAATTTCGAAGAAGGTACAATACATTAGATATTTCCGCTAGTCGAACGCGTATTTTTTCTCGCAATATGTATATTTATTTAAATATCTACATGTATTAACTTCGTATATATATATATATATGTATATGTATATGTATATATATACACAAATGATACAAGCATCTGCTATAGATTGCGCATTTATTTTTAAAAGAGTAATATAGTATTCGCTTATAACGAATTTGATCGTCTTGTCAGCGGACATGGATTTTATGTTGTAAAAGTCCAAATTTTTAAACTCTTAGACTTGTGTTGTGTAATTTATCTTGTCTGATGAAAATGATGCTGTATTATGTATCGATTCGTTGCGAATTGTAATTATTTATATATTGGATGTATGCTGAATAAATTGTCATTGACGATACTCGCATTGTACGCGACTGAATTATAGATGTAAATTGTAATGCATGATGATACGTCTCACAAATAAATGGCTATTAAAACATGCAGTTCTGAATATACTAAAATTTTTATCATACGTACAGAAGGTGTCTTGATAAAGAGATGCAAGATTTTACGCGAGAAAAATGCGAGTCTTTATAAGAGTATAAATTAAAATGTAAGCTTTTCCTGTTTGTTGATGCGTTGATAGATGTAAATGTGACTTCTTTGATATTCAACTTAAAAAATAAAACGCTAATTGAAAAGAAAATCTGGAAAATCTCAAATACCCAAATTAAAATTCCTATACATACGCTTTTCTTTAAACATAAAAGTTTTCAGGGTAAATGTTAAGAATATTCCGGTTAAGTTTTGATAAAAATATATTTAATCGATATGTTTTCACGTGAAAATAGATTCTACAAGAAAAAACGTCGCTCACGAAAAAATCGAGATATTGATCGTTAAAATTAACAATTGATAATTTTTTTAGAATGCTCCCCTCCACTTCAATTTTGATGAAATTAGGCTTATATTCGACGCGTTTTTGCATAAAACGAAAGAATCTGGTAGGAAAAAATGTCGCTCTTTCCCGCGAAGCGAGATATTAATCGTGAAAGTTCGCTACTATTGAAGTTATTGAGTTATATTATTGATATAAATCGTTAGGAACTGCGCACGTACTTTTCGTAAGACCGGATCTATAATAGGTATTCAAACCTTAAGATGCTTTTCAAGCTGACGCTCATTTTCGGCGGCAATAGATCACGTGATCAAAATTGACGCTTGATATTCATCAATTTTTAACGACATCTATTTTGACGCTGAAAATAAGCGTCGAGCGTCAGCATGAAAAGGAATTATAAGAAATGGATGAATAATCGATTACTCTCCTCACATTCGACTGTAATTGGTAAATTTCTTACGGCTTAAGGTTTAAAATACTTTTTTTCAGCTTCAAAAATGAATATATTAATTATACACAAACTTACTGCACGCGCAGACCAACGTTCTCTTTCTCTCTCTCTCTCTCTCTCTCTCTCTCTCTCTCTCAACCTTTGCTTTCGCAACAACATGGCACAGCCAATCACGGAGTGGTCGGCGTTGTCCGATCTCTACCTTGAAGATCTCTACGCCACTCTACGCTACGCGTCCACCCCTCCCCTCGTCGAACTGTCAAATCGACTAGCGTTGTTTGTATACGAAATTTATCTTCGCTGTTTGGCGTTGCAGGCAAACTCGAGTGTCCCGATTGAGGTAGCCTGGGTTTCAGGGTCAGGTTCGTATTGGGTACCGGCCGCGTTTTGTGCGAAGTTTTCGTCTTGCGAGCGAGCAATGACCGGCGCGGTTTGTGCCATCAGTGATCCACCGTTCTGTCATCGCCGAGCAATCGCGATTATCCCTAATCCCTTTCGTTCATCTATCCTTTTTATATATTTACCTACCGACTTATTCACCCTATCTTATATGCGATGCAAATATTCCGCGTGATCAATCACAATCAATCGCTTCTGTCTCGCTCCTCCGAGGGACCGTCGTCGGAGCATCTCGCGCGTAAGGGCGCTTGAGGGCTGGCGAATTAGAGACCTGCTGCCCTCTCGTCTCCCTTAACCTATATTAAAGGATCAATGAACGTTATCGCACGTACGCGCGAGGAACATTTCGTCGCATCGCCAGTCAGATCTCGGACCGTGACTCGAGCTTTTGAGAACGGCCTCGCTCGCGGAGGTCGGGATTGTCGGAAACCCGCGAGAGTGTTTGGTCGGGTTTGCTTTCATGGCGTGCGGTTCCGAACATCGTTGATATTTCATCAAATATTTTTAGCGTTTACCGTAGGATACGTATTTACGGGTTTGACGATTGCAGGATGAGTCGGACGATGGATGAGAAGGAGGAACTGGTGAAGAAGGCCTTATTTAGTTTCGTTAGGAAGCAGGTACCCACCGCTCAATTGAGGTACAGACCCTTCTTTTTCGTCTCTATGACTACTTTCATTAATCTGGTTTAATAATCAGGTTATTTTCCTTTTAGCAGACAGTTGATACAAACATCGTTCTAGCCTTTAACATTTAATGAATAACAAAGATTAAAGATAGAACGACACTTGTGTCAACTGGGTCTCGTAAAAGGAAAGCAGCCATAATTATGTTTGTAATAATTTCATAAAATGTATTTTCGTTTACAAGAAGCGGTTTTAATTTTTCTTACCGTGAACTATATGGCTTGAATAATTCCTTATTATAAATGGTGGCATTAGTTGCCTCATTTCAAGTTGGTAATACAAGTGTAACAACATTTCAAACGTTTACATATTCTCTTAAAATTGGTTCTAAGTGTCTATCTTTTTGCTGCTAGATGTAAAGTAACAACTACTGATATTATAATCAGTGTAAATTATTATTTATATGACATTTTATGTAATAATTATTATAACTATTGTTATTAAACCAGATTACTATTGCTTTATGAATGTCTACATGACTTTGATTCTTCTCCAATAAATTTTTGACTATGGGGATATTAATAGATATCCTCTTGTTTTAGTTTAATAGACGACATTGTGCTCAGTTATGTAGTGAGTATGGTAGAAGAAAGTGCATTGGAAGAGAATTTAGATGTGGATGGACTATGCGAGATGGTATCTGCTTGCCTTCCTGAGTTTTCTACTATCGAGAAAGAGGCTGTATCGAAATGGTTGCTCGATGTAGAGAGTAAGTTGAAGCAGGAGAGTAAGGAGAATGAGAATTGCCAGTCCCACAGTGATCCGCTGAATCACATCAGTCTGGCTGCTCTACTACCGGCCGGTACACAAAGAATGCGAGTCCATCATCTCTCGGAAACGAGTGACGCTGGAAGTGATTCCAGTGGAGAATACTTTTCAGAAGTAAGAGAAACACTGGATATAAACGTGTACGAGACATGTTTTCGAGCATCTATTATAACTTTTTTCAGGAATCTTCTTGGAATCAGGTGGCTCTACTGCAAGAGATGTTTCCAGCGGCGAGTCCTGCCGAAGCGAGGCATTGTTTAGCAGTGGCTGGAGGCGATATAGCGAAAGCCGCACAACTCGCATTACATCGTCAGGAAGCGGGTCAAAGCATCGTGAGCAATCTTACGTTTCTAACGGTAAGATTTCACAGCGACGTTGCTTGATTGTATAAAAGTGGTAAGATTGAAATGGCATTCATTTGTTTCAGCCCAACGGTCGTAACAAGGCGAGAGTGAACGATGAGGAGTTGAAGTCTCGTATCATCGCACGATACAGTTATGTTGATAGGGACGACGATTGTCGCGAACACCGTCCAGTCGCGCCAAAAACGGAGCCTAAGAAGTTGGTACGGTATCTAGACAATAAGATCGTAAGTGTAAAGGGTGAACGTTATACGGAAGTGCGAAGGGGTGGCGAGGATGAGGATGGTAACGAAGGTGGTAGGAAGAGAGGCCATTGCCGCCCGTAACCAGTCCCTTTGCCTCCACCCCCTGATCCACCCCCTTGGAGGCATCTAAGAGATTTTCGATTAAATCTTTAACTTAGATCATTTCCATCTTATCCGTATATAAAAGTATAGACAAAATATTGAATTTAAAAACGTTTGCATTTCTGTTGGCGTTTCATTTTCATATGCATCCTGCACAACTTTCGGAGTCTTTCGTGTAACATTAATTTATCACCATTACATAGCAGTAATCAATTTTTTACTCGTTTGAATTTATTCACAAAGATAATCTTTAAATGGTTATCTTTAATATTTTATTTTATAGTACAGATTATATCTTTATCGAGCATACAATGGCCGTTTTAAGTAAATATTCTTATTTATAGTTTAAATATATGAAGTTACACAAATGTGTTAGTGAGATCCCTATTAGCATCAAGGTATACTTACTAAAGACTTGTGAGGAAGAACTTATTTTATGTATAATAAATTGATTACAATTAATTATTTAACGTTAAGGCGTTTCACGGCTTCCACAATCAAATATTCTTTTAAGCCTTGTCAACTCCACAATGCTAGAAATCAGCACGAGAAAGAATTAACAAATCACATTTGAACAGTTCGGTCACATAGTTATAATGCGATTGATCAATTCTTTCTGCATCGGGACCGATTTCTAGCATTTTGGACATAAGGTTTTACAAAGAATTTGTCCGACTTGTTATTAATTTTACGTAGTTAAGGTACGATTATAAAAGAGATACATATATTTGATTTAGATGATTATTTGTGAATTGTTATGTAAAAAAAAATACATAAATATGTTTTATTATTTAAATAAGCTGGCTATTGTAAACTCGGCATTTGACTTAATATTCATTCCTCTTATTTTATTCTGATAATAGTTCTGTTACATTTTTCAAGATTATTTATTTTATATAGATGTAAGAGTATTTTTTTTCATATAGAATGATTCTTCAGAAACAGAATATCTGAATATCTTGATCAAAGATTTATTTTTTCTTCTTGTAACTGCCATACAAGTTGTACATAATTTTGTGTAACTTGTATTTATTTGTGTTACATGTACTAAATGTTAAAGTGCAATCCTGTCCAATCATGTTTTACTTATTTTCGGAATTTTTTCAAATCTATATATTATATATTTTATAATATGTATTTAATTGCTCTGTTTCTGATGGAACACTGTATATAAATAGCGCTAAATAGAATTATTTAATTGCATTATTATTTTGTAAGTGTGCGAAGAACTTTTAATATTTCATTGTGTATACTTTTAATGTTGCGATTACTTTATTTATGTTATACAAATCATGTGAAAAACGTTGTTTTTTTTTCTTACATCTACATTAAAAGTAGAGTGATGAACGCGAACGAGAGGTGATTTATGAAAATATACCTGAAATGTATTTAATCAAATAGCAGCATTGTCATGTAGTAAACTCTGAATCCTTTTTCAACTGCACTATAGGAAAATGTACTATATATATTAGACGATAAAGCAAGAATTTTTATCCGCACGTTTATTCAGGTATCCAGAAATAATTGTTCGACAATTTAGTAAGAGTCAATATTATCCTAGTGACGTAAGGACCGATTGCCGCGAACGCGCGAAAATGTACGTGTAATTATCGTTTATCGAATAATCAAAATCGGGGAAGGATATAAATTGTAAAAATTATTTGATAGGTGCATCTATAGCACCACGCATCTGTCAAATGAGAGCATTGATATTGCTGAACACAATTACAAAATATTGTAGATTTTAAATATATTGTAGTATACGTACTTAGATGAAAACACGAAAATATTCGCTAGAAAATATTCACTCTCTAGGGATAAAGTCTGCTTAAAAACCGTCATACAACTTGCCAGTATTATTATCCTATTATTGTCGCTGTCGCAGACTTTGAAATGTAGCGCAAATATAATCATTGAAGCGTTAGGAAGTCATGTATAGAATGATATAAACTCTAGACTTATTTCAGAATTCGTTATCTTGATGATGTTCGAAGATATACGGGAATTGTGATTGCTTCCGAATGCTGTAACTGCGAAACACAGTTTTAAATTTAAATCAAATATTTATTTGTTCTTGTATTGAATTTTTTTAGCTTTAATATTACAAACACCTGTAATCGCTTTACGATTCAAGGAAGCGATTTATATTATATTTGCTTATAAACATTACAGGGAAACGTTACTTGTAAAAGTAATTTGTAAAATTATTTACCTAACTTAACAGATTATCAGTTCGACAATTTCTAATTTTTTTATCTTTGATTGCTATTCTGCGTAATTGATCTTTTCATGACAATTAAACTTCGTAAATATATGAATGTAATGCAATACATGTCTTAAAATGAGCGGATTCTTGCCATAGATGATTATAAATATATACTAATCATGCTATTATTGATAATTGTGTATTCATCGTGGATACATATTTGCTGAAAACTAAATGTATTTCATCGCCGATTAAATCTGAATTATACCGATACTATCAATAGATTTTGAGAATGATTGCTAAAAGGAAAAAAAAATTGCTAAAGGAATACAGTGAAAAAAATAGAAATGACAAAATGGATTACTACTTTAGTTTTAAGTGAATTTTCCACGAGTCTTTCTATGTTGCATATAAGTACTGTGGCTATTAATTTTTAACTTGTTATAGATGTGAACTTTTCAAGTTGTGTGAAAGTAAGATGTAATGATTGTAATTATAATTGTACTTGCCTTTTAATATACTCTAATCACGTCACATGTCTAGATCACAATTAAAAATGTTGATACAACATGAATTCTTTCTCTTTGACAATCGATTGCCAGCGATTATATGTAATTTTTGAGAATATTTGTATTTTTATGACTGTTTAGATCGAAAGAAAAATAGCTATTGTGACGATTATATAAAAGTATGCAAGTAGGACGTTATATTCTGTAGTATAGAATTCTGAGGCTTTAAGTACAAAAAAAAGTCAATGTCAGAACGTTTTCTCTTTTTAAGTTGTATGTACATTCACACAATGTACATCATATCTTTCGATCTTTCATTTGCATTGTGTGCAAAGGAAAGAAATTTTCATTGAAATTCGGTTAATTTTCATATATTGGATTCGTTATCTTTTTGCGTAATTTGTTAGTTAATGAAAACAATATAAATATTTGTCTAATGTTAGTACCTTCATTTTAAAAACCTAAATGACTATATGGCGTTTACATATTTTTTTCATTTATCAATAAATTCGAGCATCATAAACGTTCCTATTTTTCAATGCACATTCTTCACAGTACATTCTGATATTTACGATTAAGCATTAGAGCATCACGCTTATAATTGCTAAGCTTTCATATATAATAAGTATAATATAGTTTCGACAAGTATTGACCAGTATTTAACGTATAAAACTTGAACATACAAACATTGTATTTCCTTTCAGGCAATTGTGGAAAGTAATCAAATTGCGACGATCAATAAATCTCATAAGTATCAAAGTATAACATTTTATATATATACATGTATATACATGTGTATATGTGTATATATATATATATATATATGACAGTTGAAATAAAACATCCTTCATCCGTAAGTAAGATTTATTTATTATCAATGTTCTAAACGTAATTCTTTGCAAATTCTTATTTTGTCCTGTGTATGTAAACTTAAATATAAAACTACCTAAGTGTTTACATTTTTATTAGAAACGCTATGGGATTCGACGTGTATTGAAAAATTGCAATTTCCGAATGATGGACAATTTTTCTCATTGAAATTAAGAATACGATGAAGAATATTACGGAATAATTGGCTAAAATAGATCAACGCATATATCGCTTATACATTGTACCACCTTTTTTTCAAAGATGTCATAAAAAAATTTTACAGCAATGATTCATTTTTAATCTTAACAGGCAAATATTTTGAAAACATGTAATTTTACCAAAAAACATTTCAAATAAAAGTTGTATGATACAGAGATAATCAACTTTCCTCTGAAATGTTTTTTAGTAAAATTGCGTATTTTCGAAATATTTGCCTTAAGAGTAAAATTGAATTATACTGTGTAATATATCAATGAGACACTTAAGCTAGTACAGAATTTTAATATAAATTGTATGAATATCTTAATTCGATCGACATATATAGGATGATGATAAATTTTAAAGATTATTGGAGCAACAAAGGAAAAGAATTTTAAATAACTTACAGTTTTGATAGAGCCAGGGAAATAAATAGTATATTTTTCTTACGTTTCTCTCTCTCTCTCTCTCTCACTCTATCTCTCATCTCTTAGTCAGACATCCGTGAGCACATGAAAATCACTTGCAATGTCAAGTTCTGCCTAAGTCCATCGGGAAGTATTGCGGCGTTAGTTATCAACAATTCTACAAAATCAATAAAATTAATCTACTTTTGTAATAACGCGATTTTCAGAGATCAATTATTGATAAAACGATAAAAAGTAGTTTTGTGTCGCTACAAACAATTTGATGAGGCCTGATGAACTTTGGCAGTCATTACCTAAGAATACATTTCGTTCACAATGGAATATAAAATAGTAAGTCTGGAGTCACACATGGAGTATGTCTGTGGTGAAAATGAATAAAAAAATTGATGTAATTTTTAAATATAGAAAAAAGCGCCCTGTGTGAATACCCGTGGTCCGTATTTCAGTCATATTTAAACCACAAAAATCGTGAAAAATGTTCTAAAGAGTCCAGAGTGAGGCTCGCCGCATATATACTCAGTCGTTTATTTTATTTCTTCTTTTTCCGCGGTTTGTCCTGAGGTGCCGGCAGATTCTCCTTTCGCTTCGACGTCGGTTTCGTACCTATGTTGCTGCCCTTCTTTCTCCTCTCCTGCCTCTCGCGTTCCTCGAGTTCCTGATTCTCGCGTTCTATCAGAGTTATCAGAGTATTGCAGCGACGCTGCAGCTCCAACGCGGTACGCGATTTGACGAACCAGTCAAAGCGGAACTGCGGAGCAGATCTTACCGTGGCACGAAGCTCCTCGTACACATTCTCCTTGTCGAATCCGAGCTTGTGCAGCATGCAAACGAGAAATCGATCCTCCTCCTCGGTGTAATTTTTGCCCTTGTTCGTGCCATAAGCTATCCTGAGCTGGTGGAAAGGCGCGCGGTATCTAGCCATTTTCGCGTCCAGTGCCTTCTTGATGCCGGCGCGTCTCTGTATCTTGGCCTCACCGCGCTCGATCTGC